CTTTTGCTTTTGTACAATTTTTTTAGGATCTTGATTCAACTGTGTTTTACTGAAGGCCATTAGATAATCACGAAGGTGTCATCTACATAGCAGGCCCAAAGTTTAGGTTGTGTACTGGGAGTGCTGTCCTTTCTAACCTGTGCATTACTGTTTCTGCAATCAGTCCTGATAATGGGGATCCCATCAGTGTTCTGTTGATTTGTTTGGATATGCCTTCAGATCAGATCAAATCATAGAATCAGGCACTTTGGCCCAACAAGTCCACACCACCCATACCCATCCCCCTATTACCCACCTAATCTACACATCCCTGAACAAAATGGGAAATTTAGCATGGCCAATCGACCTAGCCTGCACATCTCTGGACTGTGGGAGAAAACCCAGGTAGACACAAGGAGAACATGCAAACTCCACACAGACAGTCATCTAAGGGTGGAATTGAACCTGGGTTCCTGGCCTTGAGGCAGCAGTGCTAACCACTGAGCCACCCCTTCGTTGAGGGTGAAATGGGTTGTGAGGCATGGTTTCATGGTAGTATTCTTATTGATGTTGTTGATGGCCTGGCATGCCTGCCTACTGGATTCATCCAGCAGTGTGGCAATTGTGTCTTTGACTAGGTCGGTGTTTACGGATGTAAATAGTGCTGTTATGTCAAAGGATATCATCATCTCATCCCCGTCTATCCTGGTGTCCTTGATGATGTTGAGAAATTCTTGGAGTGAGTGGATGAAGTGGGTAGTGTTGTCCAGTAAGTATTTCAATTTCTGTTGTAGTTCTTTGGCAAGTCTATACCTTGGTGTAGCTGGTAGTGAGACAATGGGTCTGAGGGGGAACCCCAGTTTGTGCACCTTGGGGAGTCCATAGAATCGGGATGTGGTGGATCCCTCTAGCTTCATTTTTTGATACTCTGTCTTGCTGATGTCTCCTGAATTGTGTAATTTCTTCAGGGTTGTCGTGATCCGGTTCCTTAACTGTGGTGTTGGGTCTATCGCCGTCTGTTGGTAGGTGTCACTACCTGCTAGTCATGCATTAGCTTTCTCCATGTATTGGATTCTATTGATGATTACTGTCAGGCGTCCTTTGTCCGCTGGTAAGAATTACAATGTTCCTGTCTTTCTTGCAGCTTTCCAGGACTTTCCTCTCTTCTGTGTTAATGTGTTCCACCTTCCTTTTTTGCTTAGAGTTGGGATTATTGTCTGTCTGATGGTCTGTCGTACTAAAGTGCGTTGCTCTTTAGTGTCGATTCCAGTGCAGCCAGGAAGTCAGTCTTTTTGGTGTTTCTGTCGTTATAATTCAATCCGTGTACTAGGACGGTCTTCTCAGTGTCTGTTAGAGGTTGGTCTGAGATGTTTTTAATCCATGAATCTGTGTTGTCTGTGTCGTTGTTGTGGGTGATTTTGGACAGTATTTCTTGTAGAGATATTCTTTCCTTTGTTCTGGTCAAATTCACTAAACTAGAAGAAACCCACCAACACATAGACAACATCCCTACCGGAATAAAATTCACGATAGAAGAAGAGAACAACAAATGACTACCCTTCCTGGATGTAATGGTAGAAAGCAAAAACAACACGGAACTCCAGGCTGAGATAACAAGGTGTAGAGCTGGATGAACACAGCAGGCCAAGCAGCATCAGAGGAGCAGGAAAGCTGGCGTTTCGGGCCAAGAACTCCAGGCTAGTGTGTATAGAAAGACCACACATATGGACCAGATACTCAATTATACCAGCGGCCACCCCACCACCCACAAACAGAGCTGCATCAGGACACTATTTAAACGAGCCACAACACATTACAGCAACCCGAAACTATGCAAAGCAGAACAGGAACACTTATATGGAGTCTTCAAAAGGAATGGATACCCAAAAAGCACAATCCACCATTACCTCAGAGACAGACTATAACAGGAAGACACAACACGACCAGACTCACTTATCACCCTACCATACATCAAGGACATTTCAGAGATGACCACAAGACTACTCAGACCCCTAGGTATCAGAGTAGGCCACAAACCAACAACTACTCTACAACAGCTACTGACAGACATAAAGCATCCCATAGCCAAAACCAGCAAAACTGGGGTAATATACAAAATACCGCGCAAGGACTGTGAGAAACACTACAAAGATCAAACCAGAAGAAAACTGGCAATAAAGGACACATGAACACCAACTAGCCACCAAGAGACATGACCAATTCTCACTGGTCTCACTAAACACGGACAAAGAGGGACACGAATTCGACTGGGACAACACATCCATCATCACACAAGCAAAACAGAGACACACCAGGGAATTCCTGGAGGCCTGGTATTCTAACCGGAACTCCATCAACAAACACATTGAATTAGACCCTGTGTACAAACCACTGAGAAACAGAACCAGAAGTAATGCCACCACCCCAGCAAAGCGAGGCATATAAATAACAAGCAGGACAGAACA